ATAATGCTTGGCTGGCTTAAAAGTTTTTCGGGACGAGGGAGAGAAGTGGCCAATTGGTGAGCTCTCTTTACATTCAAAGATGAATTAAGCGCCGTGACTGAAGTATTTATTGATGGAGAAAATGAAGTTGTAGTGGGCATATTAAGAGTTTCCAAGCCATCACGTTCTAGTAAACGAAAAGATTCGATGTGATTTGGAACCTTCAACTCCACTTCATGCGGTCCTGAAATAGAATTGATGTGAGTTGTTCGACAATGGGAGAGAATTTGTGAAGGAGGGGGGTCAGTATGGTCGATATCTGTGGTATTAACAGTGGTAACAGTAGCTGAGGCGGTGATGGTACTGATATTGCTGGTGGCCAAAGGAGCCGAAACAGTAAGAAGCTGTCCACTCGGAGACAACGTGCAACTGGTGTTGACACTAGTTGCCAAAACCCCAGGGGTGTTTTGTTGCCCCATTTGGGCCCTGCTGTGAACGGACATGTCATTTTCGAAGCCTAGAGTTTGATGAGTGGGTTTGGCACCGAAGTGAGAGTAGCCGAGCACATCAAACTGGGCTTGACGCCAGGCTTCGAGCCAGCCACCGGCCTCATCACCTTCACGGAGGCCAAGTACAGCGTATGTGTGTTCCTGGAAAGTAGAATAAAACAATAAAGGGGAAAGGGAGAAGAGAGATATAAAAATAAGCGGAGAGCCAAATGAAGTGGCCATAGGAAAGAGAGGATAAAAGTTGAAAGTGTATTCACCAAAATGGCGTAAGCTTGCATCAATAGACATTTATTTGGCAAGCATCTCCTTTCAGTAGGTTGTAAACGCTACCAGATGAGCCACAGATCCCTTGCTGGCTTATAGAACCATAAGCGCATTTTCTGCAATTCCATGAGAAGCAAAACGATAAATCACTAATAAGGCAAAACAATCTAAGACAGCATAGACTGGAAATCGCTTTTGAGACAAGTTGACAGATAGAATTTTGAACAGGAAAGGAGAAAATAGCAGAGAATTTCAGCAGTAGTTATAGCGATGCATTTCTATTTTCGCCTACTTGGCGTCATTTACTGTCCGTGGTAGACAGACGCGGATGTCTAGGTAACAAACGCCCAGTAGCTAGCCTATTGATTAGCAGCATGATCTATTGGTAGTGCTAAGTCGGATTCTATGAAATCTTTTTAGAGCAGCTATATTAGATTTACTGAGCAATGCTTCCCGTTTAAAACCTTAGGCAGAAAAATTCTCCTTGATCATGCTAAGCAAGATAAGCTAAATTAAGGAGCCCTGATCATCAGCATTGAGATTCGCTCAGCTTAATGAGATTGCAACATGCAAAACCTTCTCGTAAAAGTAGAGACAATCAAACATTGGATGATAGCAATAAGATAAACTACCAAGGCTAATAAGTCGATTACTTTGTGTTCTAGAGCTCAGAATCAAGAAACAAAACATTTTTAGTGAATAGGACAATGGGAAAAAATTAAGGATAAATTCATATTAGTATCAGTAAGATAATAGATGCTCATTTCTGCGAGATATGAGTATTTACGATGTGACTATTGTTGAAGCCTTGACGAAGAACTGGTTCATAGGGTCGATTCGTCTTCTTTCGATAGCTGGGGCAGAAGTGATCTAGGTCATAGACAGGTCCAGTGGCTAAATCATCATCTATAAAAAAGCCCCAGACATCAAGAGTAAAGAGGTTCGAAGAGGGCCTCAGCACCTGTTAATAAGAGGTTAAGAAATAAATTACATAAATATATGCGAATGAAGATAGAATAGTAGATGAATGAAATGAAAGGTATACCAACATCACTGTATTAAGGGAATCTCAGAAACCCAGTTTTTTCCATATCTACAAAAAAATGTCTTGCCTTAGTTGCTAGGTCAGGAGAGTATCCAAAGTTAAAGAAAATCGGCCACTCCCGATGTTGAGCTCGAATGAAATTCCAAATGAAGCAATCCTCCATGCGACCACCGGGTTCCGATTCGAGGGAATTCGAATCCCGCCTCATTAGACTAGTCTGACTGCCAAAACGTGATGCCCCAGCACTGAGGCTGGTGCCCGAGGCACCATTCTGGATGGGGACCGAAAACCTAGCCTGGCGAGGCTCATGCTGAGGAAGTAAAGTTGGTTGCCCCAGATCAGACATTCCAGGAGCACCAGAGACCTCATTAGTGATAATGGTATTCATAAAGCCTGTCGGACGAGTAAACCAGGCAGCCAGACGATCAGCTTCGGTGTCAAACTTGAAATCGGCGAACCTGTTTGAGAGATGGTGAAAGGCTAGAAAGCGAAGGAAGAAGTCGTTGAATTCGAAAGCCATAGGGAATTGAAGCAGTAATTGATGCACAGCATCGAGGAATTGAAGAAAAACAGGCGAAAAGGTGATGCCTCGGTTAGCTTGATTCTGGCCAAGGCGATGTGTGAATGGATGACCGAAAAGAAGCCATTCCTTATGAATGAGTGACCAGAAGCCAGCCAAGGTGCGGTACTCCTGATCAAGCATGATCTGTGCCAAAGAGGTAACCTGAATCACAAGAGAAATTGCAAAAAAACACACAAACAAAACAGGTCAACAAAAATGAAAAAAATCTGATGAAAGAATGTTAATACTATAATTAGATAAGAAGTAGACGGGTGAATTTTGGCTTTGCATAAACTATGAGACTAGCTAAAAAATAGAGTTGAGTGTATACATATATATCCCAATGAAATAGCTTATACTCTTATTTTGCATATATATAAATAGTGTTGTTTTTAAATGTGTACATTTACAAGCCTATTTATTCAGCACATTAAGACTTACCTGCGCAACGGAGTCTCTGCCGTCCTCCAAACAGAGGGCACAGCTGGCACCCTGAAGATCGAGTAAATCGACTACAGCCCCAGCCAATTGGAGCAGCGACTGAAGTTGTTCTAGCCATCCACAATCAAGCATAGCTACATGGATATTCTTCTGAGCCCCCTGAGTGCCAGTATTACCCCCAACCCCCCCACTTCCAGATCCAGAAGTCGTGGAGCCCAATCCCAGACCAGAACTCGCGCCAGCACTAGAGCCTAGATCTTCTGAGGCTCCAGAGCCAGTCCGGTTATCCGATGCAGTACCCCCGACATCATACGAGTCAATAACACCGCTGGAGGCCCCAGTGTTACTACCAGCTCCTGAAGAAGGGCCTGCGCCCCTGTCTTTAGGTAAACAAGCATTGAAAAGAGTCTCGAAGCTTGCAGCAATGGCAGAATGGTTAACATAGTCAACAGAAAAGAACTCGATGCCGGGAAAATTGTCTGACTTGGCCAGTTTCTATATAAAAATTGAGCAAGGGAAGAGGGACATGGAAGATAAAAAAGGATTTGTAAGAGAAAAATTTAAATCAAAAAAGAGCAATGACGACTTTAGGTCAAATTGTGAGAAGCTTAATTTCTTGGATATTACAGGAGGATTTCTAAGTAAAATTTGCCTTGCGTAATTTGCTACTAGTGACTAGGGAAAGATATAGAAAAGAAGAAGCAAATAGATCTGAATTTATGAGATTTAGATTTTTAATGAATACACTCATAAAAGGAATGAGCTGATAAAAAGTATGAAAGTTGTATATGGTAGGACCGTAAAGTAGCCAAGGTAGAGGGCGTGACCTGAAAATAAAAAGAATTCACACGGCGGTTTTGCTTGAGAATAAAAAATTCTAGCGAACCAGCTTCCAAGTTATAGAATTTAAAGAAGCCTGTTGCTGAGAATCAAAATCGACTTGTTAAGCTCTATCGTAGTCATAATGGAAAGTACTGAGCCTACCAATGTATCTTGCTAATCAGCATGAGCTAGATGTAAAGATATGACGCTTCCGAAATGTCAGAATAATACGCTTGAGGATTGAGGATGGCACAGAGAAGGTAATAAAGGGAACATACAAATACAGGCACATGGGGAAGAGATACACTATTGAGCCAAAAAACAAGTCAGAATTTTTAGTGGAGAAATATATAAATTTGATTTTGTCGGTCAAATCAACGATATATAGTCGAGATGCCAGGTTTCATAAAGTAAATATGGCTTAACGCGAGACAAGATAGAAATAAAAAACTGTAATAGATATGTAGCCAGGAGGTTAAAGAGTACCCAGTTAAATTTTAATGAATTCATAAAAATGTCTTCATGCAAATTATATTTATCTTCAAAAAGCCCCTAGACTCTCAGAAAGACTTAAATGAGATTTAATTGCACCCGAATGTCCGCGCTCATAAGCGCGTATACCAAAATGAGCATGTGTAATGAAGTTAATAGAGACCTTCATCATCTTTTCTTCGCCAAGGATATAAAGCGATGTTGGCGGTCGACAGTGGCCAAACTCTAGTGCAGGTGAAGAAGCCATCCCGAGCGATAGTTGGAGGCTGGATCCAGTTGCGCTGCTGGTACCTGTGCTTAAAGCACCAGCGCCACTGCCTCCGGCCCCAAGATGGGAGTCTCTCAAAACTCCTGAATGTGAGTCACGAAGTCCCAGGGGAGATGCATTGGAAGCAGACGAGCCGACTCCAGCGCCACTCGGAGAACCAAAACCTTGTCTGAGGGGATTAATTGGATTCAGGCGGCTCAAAGCTGTAAATAAATAGGTAAGGCAAAGTTACATAACAATTCAGTACAAAAGACAACCAAAAATTAGTTTCCCAGTAAAATCAATCCTACTTCGGCCATGGGCACAGCCTAAGTGAGTGAAATGCCCCTTTAGCCCTGACAGGGATACCCATTTTATTAGCAATATCTTAAAAATCAATTCAAATGCATTTCACATCCAATTAGAAGTCATCGATAGAATGCATAATTTAAAACGAGAAAATAGAGATGCTACAGCTATGAATTTCCTTCGAAATGTAATGCAGACAGATTACGAGCAGAAGAATTAATAAAAACATCCAAACTGACGAACTCCAGAATTACTTGTGCAAATTCAAA